ATTCACCATTTATAGATCAATTCATGATTCAATATATTCGTCATTTCCAACTAGACCAACTAACTCACACAAGTACACAAAATGATTTTTTTTTTTTTTTTGACTTTTTTTTTACTAAAGCAATAAAAACTCACAAAAACACATAAAAAAAAGGGGATGCTACGTATACACATTGGAGTACACACGGCTTTACACCCCCCTCACAATAAAATATTCGTGGGCCCTTCTCCATTGAGAGGAGTGTAAGGCTGTGTGTACACCATGAGGTGTACACATAGCATTTTTCTAAAAAAAAATGAAAACTTACATTTTCCACCACCAAACTTAAACTAGATATTGTCCTTAATGTCTTTAATCCTAAATCTGCATATAAAGGGGTGGGGAAGAAAATGAAGAAAAGACTTCCCTGATTGACTTGTAATTCAATGGCTAGCTTTCCTATTAATCCCGTTAGCTCCTTGAACAGTTTTGGTTTAAATGTTTTACGACGTCATGTTCCTGAAAAATCAAATAAAACATTAAGATCAAATAATTGGAACAAGTGTTACTTAGTTCTAACATCTAATACACCAACTAACATATCCAAAATATAAAGAAAAAATGGGTATGGATGATGAGTCACAAATAAATTTAAAAATAAACTAAACTATCATAAAACTGAAAAACAAAATAAATAAAAAGGAAACAAGATTGGGTTGTCTCCCAAGAAGCGTTTCTTTAACATCATTAGCTTGACTTTGGCAGTTGAATCACGGGCACCTAAAGAAGGCTTTGGATGTCTTGCCTATTTTCCTTCGTTTGACTTTGATTCACTTTTCATTTAGTCTCCAAACTTCTACTTTGCCATTTTCGATGTAATATGACTTTTTTATTTTATCCGATTCAATTTCAACTATGTAGACTTCCATTCTTATATCGGATTTTATTACAAAATCAATTTTTGGACAATCAATAAAGTCGAAAAAATGTTAGTTGATTTCATTCTTATTGATTGCCACATCCTCATTTGATTTCGTTGTGATCAACACAGCATTCTATTTAATCCCTTCTTCCATACTCGATATATATTCGGGTTGAATAATCAATCCACAATCTAAATCCACAAACAATGAGAAGTCGGTCTCGTTGATTCATTAAAATGGATTGTATCCCCATTGTTGAAATCCTTCACAGTACATGAAATCTCCCATGAGCATATTGTTTTCATCCAACTTGGCAAGTTC